AAAAAAAAAAAAAAAACTGTAGTTGGGTGAAGTGGTGCATACCTGTCATCCTGGCTACTTGAGAGTTTGAGGCCAGAAGCTTACTTCAGCCCAGGAATTCAACACCAGCCTGGACAACGTAGTGAGACCTTGTCTCAAAAAAAAAAAAAAACCAGGCTCAGCACCTGTAGCTCAAGCGGCTAAGGCTCCAGCCACATACACCAGAGCTGGTGGGTTTGACTCTAGCCTAGGCCTGCCAAACAACGATGACAGCTACAACCAAAAAAAAAAAATAGCCGGGCGTTGTGGCGGGCACCTGTAGTCCCAGCTACTTGGGAGGCTGAGACAAGAGAATTGCTTAAGCCTAGGAGTTGGAGGTTGCTGTGAGCTGTGACACCACAGCATTCTACCCAAGGTGACAGCTTGAGGCTCTGTCTCAAAAAAATAAATAGGCTCAGCGCCTGTGGCTCAAGTGGCTAAGGCGCCAGCCACGTACACCTAAGGTGGTGTGTTTGAATCCAGCCTGGGCCCGCCAAAATAACAATGACGGCTGCAACCAAAAAATAGCCAGGCATTGTGGTGGGCGCCTGTGGTCCCAGGTACTTGAGAGGCTAAGGCAGAAGACTCACTGGAGCCGAAGAGTTGGAGGTTGCTGTGAGCTGTGATGCCACGGTACTTTACCTAGGGAGATAGCTTGAGGCTCTGTCTCAAACAAAATAAATAAATAAATTAATTAATTAATAAAACTGTAGGCTCGGTGCCTTAGCACAGTGATCACGGTGCCAGCCACATGCACCAAGGCTGACAGGTTCAAGGCTAGCCGGGGCCAGCTAAACAACAAGGACAACTGCAACAAAAAAAAAAAGAAAGAAAAAATAGCCAGGCATTATGGCAGGCACCTGTAGTCCCAGCTATTTGGGATGCTGAGGCAAGAGAATCGTGTAAGCCCAAGAGTTAGAGATTGCTTTGAGGGGTGATGCCACGGTACTCTACCAAGGGCTACACAGTGAGACTCTGTCTCAAATAAAATAAAATAAAATAAAACTATAAAGTGGCTAAGAATAAGACAGTAGGAAGTGGTGACTACTGTGGCAGCAGGATTCTTTTTTTTTTTTTTTTTTGAGACAGTCTCACTCTGTTCCCTGGGTAGAGTACCATGGCATCATGGCTCACAACTTCAAACTCCTGGGCTCAAAGGATCCTCTTGACTCAACCTCTGGAGTAGCTGGGACTATGAGTACCCGCCACAACACTGTGCTAATTTTTCTATTTTCAGTAGAGACGAGGTCTTGCTTTTGCTCAGGCTGGTCTCGAACTCCTGAGCTCAGGCCTGGACCACCCACCGGGACCTCCCAGAGTGCTAGGATTAGAAGAGTGAGCTACTACATCTGACCAGCTGGAGAGTTAGTTCTTAACCCTCCTAAGACATATGAATTCAAATTTGTAAAAAAAACATTGTTCTGTCTGATACATAACACATCTGTGGGCTTTGTTTGGCTTGAGATCTATAGTTTACATTCCTTGATTTAACCAGAGATGTGGGTGACAGAATTCCAAACAAAGGAAGCTATGTAAGTGAGGACAAGGAGGCCCATGAGAGCACACCAGTAAGCCTCTGTGAAGGGCAGCCAGTGAACAGTGAACCAGCATAAGAAATGGATTTTGATGGGAGGGTAAGGTAGGATGATTGCTTAAGCCCAGGAGTTCAAGGCTGCAGTGAAGTATGATTGTCACTGCAGTCCAGCCTGGGCATCAGAGTGAAAAATTTGAAAAAAAGAAAGAAAGAAATGTGTTTAGGGTCAGATTCTGGAGGGACTTGCATCTTAGCCTGAATTATTTGTAGGATCATACGGAATTGTTGACAGAGCAAGGAAATCCTTCTTTAGGGCAGTCTCTACTAAATTCATGCCTTTCAACATCTGTCTAAGCTCTAACATTTCAGAGCTGCAGAAGCTAAAAAGCAGAGAACTTATGTGAGTAATCCACTTGGAGGTTAATTGGCAGTGAATTTGGAACCTAAACTAAGGTTTAATTCTCAATTTTGGTTTTCTCGATAGCTCCATATTTATTTGGAGCTTCCTACACTTAAGGCATTGTAGGGGAACTCAGGGATTTGGATAGTGTCATCAGGGAAGTGTAAGTGAAATGTGGAGGGGGACTTAGATCATTTATTCCCATTTCTTATAAGGGGCAGGTTCTAGGGCATAGTCTGGGAAGGACTTGTCTAGGCTTACCCATGGAGGGAGTGGCAGAACCTGGATTAAAACCTAGGTCCCCTGCCTGTCCTCTGAGCAACTATAGGAGACTTATAGGAATAAATGAGAGTGACTGGGGAGGGAAGCAGAAAGCCAGAGAGACAGAAATGGAAAGGACCAGATATATCTCCTTGCCAAGAGCCCAGGATCCTAGGCTCCTGTGAAGGTAGGGTGAGCTCCTAGGGTTGCCCTGTTGTCCAGATAGGTCTTAGAGTCTGGCACAATGGCCATGAAGTTGCTGAGACCCTAGCCTATGAGAGTGAGAGTACAGAAGGCCCTGACTTGTGCTGTTGTCTGGCCTTGGCAGAGGAGTGAGCTCTGTGGTCCGTCGTTGTGTTCATCGAGCTACGGGCCAGGAGTTTGCAGTGAAGATCATGGAGGTGACAGCTGAGCGGCTGAGTCCTGAGCAGCTGGAGGAGGTGCGAGAAGCCACACGGCGAGAGACACACATCCTTCGCCAGGTCGCTGGCCACCCCCACATCAGTGAGGCTGCATTCCCTGCTCCCGTTAGATGATAACCCCACCACCTACTGACCCTGGCCATAGCCCACTTTCCCCAACATTGCCTCCACGCCTTTCCCCCTTCTGGCTCTGTTCCGCCTCAAGGAGTGGCCAGCCTTTGGGTACTGCCTCCTTTGCCTCTCCTTCCTTCCCAGTAACAGCCCACAGCTGCTTCAGGGTGGCAAAGCCCCTGTAAAATGTATCTGCTCCTTTCCATCTCTGTCTCTCTGCCTTTCTGCCTCTTTCCCCAGTCACTCTCATCGATTCCTACGAGTCTTCTAGCTTCATGTTCCTGGTGTTTGACCTGTGAGTATCTCCTTGCCCCAGTCCGAGAACCCTCCTTCCCACCTCCATGTATTGCTCCATCCCTGGAGCCTTACAGTACAGTGGGCCAGACCCACCCTGCTCACACCTTCCTCTGCTCCAGCTGGGCCTCTCTCTTTCACTTTGGACGGCCTGCCAGCCCATGGCTCTGGCTGTCTCCCTAGGTGCCATGATTAAGGCAAATTCTTCAAGCATAATACAAAGAGTTCTTGTACCCATAGAGGTCACTATCCCAGTGTCCCCCATGGTTAAAAGATGTAAGAGGAGAGTGTTTAACAGTGAACTGACCACCTATAAAGCACATCTTCACTCTCCAGTCTCTCTTGTTGCATAACACTACATTAGTGTTGATCTCTGCCCATCAGTTCTTTTTCTGGTCAGGCTGAATCAAAGTCAATTGTTATACAAGTTGCAAAAATATTTCAAAAGAGAATGATTTGAACACTGAAGATTTAAGACAGCCTCTTGGAAAAAATTCATGAAGATGTCAGTGTATTTACCAAAATGATACTCCACACAAGTCAGAGGGGATGTATCCATCAGGGGGTATCCATCATGCTGATTTGCAGAAGTGACACTTCCTGAAACAACTTCTGATGTATTCTTTATTTTATTTATTAGTATTAACATTATTATTAGTTGTTATTGTTTAGCAGAGCAGGTTGTAGTTGTTTACCTGGCTGTGTTTGAACCCACCACCCCGGGTGCACAGGGCCAGCACTCTAACCATTGGAATATGGGCTCCAAGCCATATTATTATTTTATTTATTTATTTTATTTGAGACAGAATCTCACTTTGTCACCCTTGGTAGCTCACAGCAACCTCAAACTCTTAGGCTGAAGTGATTCTCTTATCTCAGCCCCCCAAGTAGCTGGGACTGCAGGGACCTACCACAATGCCCAGCTCTTTTCAGAGATGAGGTCTCACTCTGGCTTAGGCTGGTCTTGAACCTGTGAGCTCAGGCAATCCACCTACCTCAGCCTCCCAGAGTGCTAGGATTACAGGTGTGAGCCACTATGCCAGTTATTATTTTTGAGACAGAGTCTTGCTGTGTCCCCTGGGTAGAGTGCTATGGCATCGCTGTATCTTACAGTAACCTCAAACTCTTGGGCTCAAACAATTCTCCTGCCTCAGGTTCCTGAGTAGCTGGGACTATAGGCACTGCCACGATTCCTGGCTAGTTTTTCTATTTTTAGTAGAGACCAGGACTTGATCTTGCTCAGACTGCTCTTGAACTCCTGAGCTTAAGCAATCCACCCACCTTGGCCATCTAGAGTTTTTTTTTTTTTTT